GTGGAATCCCCCTAAACAAGCGTTTAAGCCAGCTTCACTTACAGGAGCAAACACTCCAAGTTTAATGGGACTCGCAAGCAAAGCACCAGAATCAGAAATAATCATTACAAATGGTTTTTCACCTTTAACCCTCCCACTGTCCTAATGGGTGAGGAGTGAGCACCGCCTCAAGTCTTTCTTTGCATTCGACTGAATAAGAAGTTCAAACCGCTACATTTATGTTTACCTCTCAACACTGATATGAATAATAATGCGGAGACACCTTTATGTATTTAGATCTAACTCCAGTAATTATTACTGATTTATTTCCAACAAAGAGTAACTCCGAAGTGCCTTTTCTCCCCCCTCCCCCGACTCTACCCTCATGTAAACCCTCTTGATCTGTTACAGTAGCGCCACTCGGGTTGCCAGTGACCACAGTCACCAGCTCTCGTCATGCATGTACGTCTGATCTCACAACAGTGTGTACCGTTACTCCGACTTCCCTCTGGGATTAATGAAGTATTATTGAACTGAATTGAACTCCTTAACGTTCACATCCAAAAAATGACAAATATTTTATTCAGTTTGAAGATTATTGGTTAAATTCTTCTTGAATGATATTAAAAGAATTATTAGGTAAAAACAATTACATTTTATTAAGAAATCCCCATAAAAAACGTGTTCAGTAGTTTTTTTTCTGTCAGGTTCATTTTAAGCAGATATAAAGACTCAGTCGTGCTCTACAGTAGCCGACCTGCCAGTCAGGGTCTTCCGAGTCACTATACAGGCAGCGCCTCGTAGGACGCTGAGTTCATGTCTGGTGTAGGACCTGAAACCACCCACTTTCCTCAGTGGGGAAGTGGCGCTCCAACAGAATACGTGAGAACGAGACGTCTATCTGGGTCACCGGGGCTCAGACTGAGGGTCTGTCTAGTTAGACACATTGAGAAGAAGCTGCATGAGCTCCAGCCCAGGACCGTGCACACCAGCTCTGCTCTCACTCGTTCTCCTGGCGTGGCGGTGACTATTACAACACACACTGGAATGTTCTCTGTTCATTGGGGCAAACAGCACCAGGTTCGACGTGCTCCGGCATCATAAATGGTATCAATATGGTTTTTACTCAATTTGGAAATTGGAAGACCTTTAGTAGGATGTGAAATAATTATTAATAATGTTGGAAACAGCAGGTGTCTCATAAATCCTCCACATGTTGGAGCACACGTGTCTCTACAGCCTTTAGGTATGGAGAGAGGCTTTCTACAGGTGGGGTGCAGGATGCTCTAATGAAATGTTTATTTCTGTGACACATCATGTGGGTTCTTAAAGATCCTGAGAAGCTTTTATCAGCTCTATCAATTATACTTGGAAGCTCTTCGGACTCAGCTGATTAAATTTGGGAGTCAGAGGAACTCGGGTGAAATCTAGGATTTTTAAGAACCCCACATCCTTTACACTGGGTCAGGTGTTGGGGGATACAAGCTTGAATGAAATTTCAGCTTTCACACAACACTTACTTTGGTCCCTGATACTCAGGCCTTCTGTGTAAAAGGAGAGGGGGGGGGGGGGGGGGGGTCTAGATTACTGAGGGAATAAATGTACTTCATTTGAAATACTGAACATTAGGGTTAGAAACAATTACAAACTAGAAAAAATTCATGCATATGTTCCAACGTGGCTAAAAGGTGAAAGGTCAGAATGTTTACCGCCTGAATGCTCCTTAACAAAACACCTCATGAACACACAGATATTAACCCTTGAATGTCCAGGTTTAATGAACGCCATGGGGTCGTGTCCATGGACGTAATTTTCAGTTTAAAAGTGGGGGGGACATGGGGGGGGGGGGATCTTTACAGTATGCTCTAATGGGAAACAGGCTTCAACACAAACGGTTGTTTTCCGCTTGGCCCTAGAGCTCAACCAGTGTCAATTTAATATAGTGTAATATTGTTTTTGGATAGTAAAAAGTGCAGGGGTCAAAACCTGACTTTGGAAAAAGTGGGGGGGACATGTCCCCCCTGTCCCCCCCCCCCCAAAATTACGTCCATGGTCGTGTCCCATGGGCGGGACACACGGATGCTAAGGGTTAATGAAACTACAAAGAATAATTCATGGTTTTACAACCAATTAGCATTTGGAGCTAACTCCATTAAGGATGGCTAATCGATTTTAGCAAAAGCCAACATGGCTTTCAGACATTTACAGATGTTAGGGTAAAAATTCATTTGACCAGAAGAGATTTGTAACATTTTACAACAAGAGAAACTAAACTGTGCTTCGCTACAGCGGAGCAACTTCGGAGGTCATGAGTAATGAACCAGGGACTAATTTGTAGTAAACCAGTACTTACTGGTTACAACCAGTACTTACTGGTAAAAACACCCGCCGGTCTTGGGTGGTTTTACTAGTAAGTATTAACTACCCATTAGTTCCCGAATGACTGGCGAGTCGCAGCTGGTTACCCATCAGACCCTGGTTCATTACTCATGACCTCCTACGTCGTTCCCTAGCAACGAAGCACTATTCTGTGTCCATTATGTAAAGTGTTACTAAGAGCTTCAGCTCCATCGTTTCTCTATAAAACGTGTTTTGGTTTAAAAATCCAATATTAAACTTAACTAATTCAATGAAATAATTTCAAAACTACTAATTCCCCCGTCGTAGTGAAGGTCTTTGTTTCCACGAAGACTCGTCTAATCAAAGTTCCATTCTTGGTGTGTTTCCTAAACGTCTCACACATCTGCCTACATGAGCTGGTGGGTAACAAGACGAGGTGAACGCAGCAAGGGGCAACAGGCTCATACTTACCCTGCATCTCTGTTAAAGGGAGACAAATGCCACAGGGCAGGAGACACAGAGACAGCAGGCGATAACAGGAGACGGCAGAAACAGATGCAAGAGAGAGGGAGACAGAGAGAGGGAGAGGGTGAGCATAAATAGCAGGACTCGTTGTTCAGGTTAGTACAATAAAACCATCACAAGACAGCCACAGAGCCAGAGGTTAGAGCAAAATAAGACAGACACAACCTAAACCAAACGAGACACATGACCACCGTGCTCCAGCTGTGGCCGTTTGTCTTTCGCCCTTTTTATTTTCTCTTCTAATTATTTATAGTAACCATCGGTCCAAACTAGGGCTGCTCGATTATGGCAAAAATAATAATCACGATTATTGTGACTGAAATTGAGATCACTATTATTTAGGACGATATTTCAATTTATGTTGATTTTGTTTGTTTTTATTCAGTCATAAAATTGCTCAGGGCACTATCAGGACAAAAATAAATAAGAAACAAGATGATCACTAAAATAACTCCTGATTCCCAGTATAAAAGACCAATATACTTACAGCTCATAGTCTATGACCCAAGGGCTATAGACCTTGGTTTAACTCATTTAAGTCTAACCAGTACAGACCCAAATACCAATATCTTGCAAATACTGACAGCAAGAATTATACAGTGGCATTTATAACAAATGAATGCAAATAAATTGATGTTCACAAAATGTTGCATAACATTTATTGAGTCGTGTCAAGGTGCTGTAGGAGCATGCACTAGCGCCGTGTCCTCAGAGAGATTAGTTATTATTTATCAGCGTGAGGAAGTTATTTCTACCTTATTTATAAACTATTTATTTACAAGTCCATCAGTTAATATATGCAGGGTTGTGTCAGTCAACACTGCATCGCCTACAGGTTGTGCAGAACAGCGCTGCCAGGTTCCTGACTGGGACCAGGAAACGGGACCACATCAGTCCGGTTCTGGCCTCCCTGCACTGGCTTCCGATTTGCTATCGCTCACAATTCAAAATCCTCGTCTTTGTTTATCATTTCTTCCAGGGTGGTGCTCCCCCCTATCTGGCCACACTCCTGAAAAGACATTCCCCATCACACTCTCTGCGCTCCTCTGACCAAGGCTTGCTCGCTGTCCCTCGGTCTAGGTGTCGTACCCGTGGGGACCGGTCCTAGCACCGTCACTCTGGAACCAGTTGCCACCCTCAGTTAGGCTGTCCCCTTCTCTGCCAGTCTTTAAGAATCACCTAAAAACACACCTCCTACGCTTGGCGTTTCCAGAACATGTTTGATTTTGGCCCTCTTTTATGTTGAATCCATTCCACAGTTTTCATTGGTTCACTCAATCCATCCACTCAATCCAAATGTGTTTCACACATTTGTCCTTTACCGGACTGTTTCATCTATCTTGTAATTTCCATTTTGTATTTTGTAATTTGTATTTTGTAATTTGAATTTCTTTTATTGTTGATTTATTCAGTATATTTACATAAAACTGTACAATGTTCAGCGCTTTGGGCTTCCTGACAGGGTTGCGGAAGGCGCTTTATAAATAAAGCTTTGATTGATTGATTTGATTGATTAATGTAATAATTGTCCCAGCCGCAGCTGCATGATCTAAACTTCATGGTTCTCATATTTAACATCTAAATGTGTTTCATTACTTCCATCGTGCACGTCTACAGCCCCTCTGGTCCAAGTATGAACCCTTGTATTAATATGAACCTGGACTGTATTTCTGTTGTGATACACATGCTGCGGTCTGTAAGGCTCTGACTGTAAACTAGAACGTATCAAATGTAATTCACACATTTCACCTCCAGTACTCATGTCTAAAAGGAATATTTTGAATGTCTAAAGTCAAAGATGTCATTGTAAACGTGGTGGATCTGAAATAAAAACGGAGCTAACGGGAATTGAGATTATAAAAAAGAAAAGAAAAGCAGGACGAAGTGTTCACCTGTACAACATCTTTAGTTCCTCTTGTGCTGTTGACTTAACTTGTGTTGGACTGTTGATCCATTCACCCCACTTTCATTTTGATGCGCTGCTTCCTGTGTACGCACGCTACTAAACTGCTGCTTATTGATATTTCAATAACTGACTCTTCTTTAGGTTTGATTCCGAATGTTTAGATTTGATTGTATATGGTTATAACTGCAGATTTGTTAGGGTTAGGGCTACATTGGGCTTAGAAATAATATTGTACTGACTTAGTGACACACAGCCTAATGGAGTTGTTAAGGATTGCATGTAAGTTTATGATCAGCGCCCCATAGTGGACTGGAGTCTGCAGACTGACTAACATTCTTCCATGCTTGGTCACCGCTGGATTTCCAGGTGAAACAGTCTGGAAGAGGCGCAGATCTGAGCTGTTCACTGTGGAAAACCAACTTTTCACACCTGCTGGATGTTTGTATTCCTCCGCCTGGTGAGTGGCTGGAAGCTTCTCCTGAATGTAGCAGCTTTAACTGGCTGCTGCTTCACCAAGTCAGAAGATTCAGGACAAATGAGGAGAGAGCTGCCCCTGCAGACTGCCACTAGGTGGGGCTGTAATCTAATAGTTCATAACAGATTCTACACAGAGGATTGTCATCCCAAATGAGACTTTTATCAAGAGTTCTTGGACCTCTGGTCAGATTCTCTGATGCGTCTTCCACAGAGACCTCGACAGCGGACTCACCTTTACGAGCCTTCTTCTGCAGTTTCATGGTGTCGGATGACTTCTTCTTGATCTCGTGGCGTGACCTCTTGTACTCTTGAACGAGGAGGAACAGAGATGCTTTCAGACAGGAATGTAAAGCCTCGGGCTGAAATCACATTTCCTTGTGTTCCTCATGTAAACTAAAATAGAACGACTTCTAAGAGCTGCTTCACCAAGAGGCCACCGATGAAGACGTTACACCGCCTGAGGGGGAAACCGCTTCAGAGGCCGGCTGGTTTCAGCCTCAACCGTCACGTCTAAATATCTGGAAATGCTAAACCCTTCTCTAAGACCTCCCAGCACATGTGGGACATGAACGGTACGTGTCAGCATGCGACAGAGCAGGTTAAGCCCCCCTCGTCTCGTTTAGATGTTTCTCCTGAGTCTGAAAATGTAGCTGGATTTCTATTTTAATCCGGTGTTTGAGATTAGTCGGACCTCATAAACAAAACTCTAATTTTATTCAATAAAAAAGTAAAGATATACATTTAAAAAGGACTAATGTCACACAATAATTGAATGGAAGGCATAACGCTTGTGCAGGAAGCTAATACTAGTGATGGGACGAACAACAATGAGCCAAACCCCGTATCGGTGCGTGTATCGCTTAAGAAAATATCACGTGACCGATACAGGAAGTGTGTCGTTTGGATGCGCCGCGCCAAGTTGTGTTTAAAAGGAAACAAACTAACGACACGTTGCAGATGGGTTGGATGGAGTTTAGGGTTTAGGACTTGTCCTTTATCATCATGCTCACTTTTCTCCATGACTTCATGGATCGTTCCAAGAAGTTTTCCCCAGTCGGGAATAATTTTGATCTTTTGACGCCAGAAAAGGTAAATTGTTTTCTCCCTCTGGCAACGTTTACTGTTTGTGTTTGTAGTCTTTCTCCGGTAAGAGGCTCAAATTGTTTTCAGATAAATTAACTGTTTATTTTCTTGTAGGTGAAGTGTCGGCTCTGCTCCACAGAGCTGTCTTACTCCAATAAGAGCACTTCATCAATGCCGAGGCCTTATAGAGCTCGGCATGGCGATGATGGATGGGCAGATACCCCAGGTGTGTTGGAATTATCACTAAAAAAGTCAGAATTGTCAAAAATAGTCTATTACACACAAAAGACTTTGTGTGACTCTGTAGTATTGCTTGTAAAAATCCTTTTAATGAGCTTTTTAAAGCTTTTTAAAAAATATTTCCTTTTGTCTGGCAGTTCCTAACAAGCAAGCAGTGGATGAGGCCGTGGTTAAAGAGCAAGTCACCCCCAAATCACATTTTTTTTTGCTGATAAACTATATAAAGGAGTGTCTAATCATGCTACATACACGTGTGGTCAATAATTTGGCAGTTCAGTGCATCTTGGTTAAAATTCAAATATTCTGCCTAAAACTGTCAGTGGTGCGCCGTCATCAGGGAAAAACTCTGCACTGTATTTGAATTTAAATCTGCCACCGCTATTGGCTAAGAGGTATGCTATGATGTCATCTGGTATATTATGATGTCATAATGCCATTGTGAGCCTGTGTGTGTGTGTGTATTTGTTAGCGGATCCGCCCTCTTGGTCTGCCAAGCAACAGCATTTGTTGCATTTTTCAAACAGGAAGTGGGAGTGAAGTAAGAATCTGGTAGGGGTGACTTGCTCTTTAACGTGATCATCAGACCGCCAGCCACTCACCGCAAACGTTTGTTCCTCAATAAAAATGCATGAATGAATCCATATTTTTGTTTTGTATGATCTAACACGTTTAGTTCAAACTCCTACCTCTGGTTTTTATTACAGACACATTCAGAAGATTTAACATGACAACTCACTGTAGCATTTACACAAACAAGGTTATACACAAATGATTAACCCCTTTCATAAACAACTTAACTCAACAAGTTGAGCAAATTAAATTATATAATGATGAGATAATATTTTGTTTACAGGAAATGAAATCTTGCACACCTGGTGAGGGTTTGCAGCATGAAAGCGTTTCCATCTCATTTACCTGCAATGACTTTAGAAATACTGCAGGTGTCACTACTGAGTGACCAACACAGTGTCAATGCAGTGCTGGCAGTTTGTGGAGTGTGTCAATACACTCCTTGAGATATCATCATTCCATCACTAGCTAATACCCTCTTATTAAGACAGAACGTGTCCGGACAGCCACGTCTGCGACAAGTCCAAAAGCTGCTGGAGGACCTGATTCTAAAGATGTCTTCTGTTCTGATGATGGGTCGGGAGTTTAGGAGCTGTTTTAGAACAACACGCTCCAGGGCCAGAGCGGATATGTCATCACTACAGTAAGCTTCGAGTCTGTCCCGGATCACCTCACAGCGAGACATGCCCACCAATCCCCATGGAGAGACAAGCAGGAGACATCCTAATCAGCAGCAGTAGCTCAGGTGGTAGAGCGGGCTGCCTCATGATCATGAGCTCGACTCCAGCTCCCGCCAGGGGCATCCTGCTGTTGTGTCCTTGGGCAAGACACTTCACCCAACTTGCCTGTGTTAGTGGTGGTCAGAGGGGCCAAATGGCAGCCTCGCCTCTGTCAGACCTCCCCAGGGCGGCTGTGGCCACAAGTAGCTTACCATCACTAGCAGTGTGAGAGTGTGTGAAAGCGTCTTTGGGTGTCTAGAAAAGCGCTCTATAAGTTCAATGCATTATTATTATTATTATTATTACTATAATCAGATGTCTGAAACATCTCAACTGAGTCTTTTTGATGAGGAGAGGCAGCGACTGCTCCAAGCTTCTCCTGGATGATGAAGCTCGTCTCACGGCTACCGTCTGATAGGTCCTTTTAGCCTCTGGTGGATCCCATAACAAGACGTGAGGACAGGAGCGTAGGCGGACCGGTAAACAAGCTTCACATAGATATTGTGCGTGATCATGAAAACAAACCCAGACTCTAGAAGCAGCACTGATGGTGTCAAACCCACAGTGGGAATGAGCTCCGCGTGCTGCTGTTGAACTGTCCAGCATGCTGGGAGGAAGTTAACCTGCGATTTACCTTTGGCATGGTCCTTGTCCAGCTGGTTGGCTGTCTTTTTCCAGTCCTCTATCTTGTCCTGGAGAGGAGCGATCAGACTCTCCATCAAAGCACTGCAGGGACAGACATGACAGAACCACACAGCTCAGTGAGAGAGGTCCCCTGTGGCTGAAAGGAAAGAGAGAGGAAGTCCTAAACCAGACACAGTGTACAGGAGCCTGTCCCTAAAATCACTGGACAAAAGCGAAACTCCATAATGAAGTCGTATTTTAACGTTTATCGGACGTTTCCTACGGTTCTCCATTCTTACCTGTGGTGACAGAAACATTCTGACAACATTCTGTAGCTTTAAACAGCTTCGTTATAAAACGTTCACACCAAGAACATTCATCATTTCACCCATAACCAGAGAAGTGCTGAGTCATCTAAATCCTGCCATGTTGTTCCTGACGACCACCTCCTCGTGTGATTATTCTGTTAGACGCTAAAAGTCCTCCAGATCTGTTTTTGTCTCATTTCTGCGTGAACCGCGTTCCTCTGAGAGGACGTCTCATCCCATCACCGACCTCAGCGTGTCATGTTTGGGTTACATCTAGCTCTCTCCTCCCATGCGGGGCACGTGAGGTGAATGGGCTGACTGCACCATGTACACAAACACTTTAGGACCAATTCAGATTTAGTAACCCAGGGCTTTAGATCACCATCATCACCATCATCATTACCGTTTTTGTTGAGGAAAAGTCATTAGGGAGTCCAGAGAATGAAGACGTAGGAAAATGGTGGTGAGGAGCAGACGCTGATGAGGTTTCCTGCGTGGTCGGTGGTGCATACCAACGTCTGTATGCAGTTATCGTCATTTAAATATGGTCTGAGAGTGGAATGTAGCTAATGGAACGAGACAATAACTTTCCACTTTAAAGGAACCTTGATGGATGGTGGAAAAGGAGAGGAAGGTGGGATGATTGTATCTTACTTGGTGAACTGGCGAAGTTTGGCCTCGATGCTGCGATGTCTCATACACATCCTGGTTAGAGCCGACCCGATATCTCTGGTTGCCCCTGCAAGGAAGACAGGATCAGTCTAAGTCTCAAACACACACACACACACACACACACTCACAAGCACACACACACACACACACACACACACACTCGCAAGCACACATACACACACACACACACACACACTCACAAGCACACACACACACACACACACACACTCGCAAGCACACACACACTCGCAAGCACACACACGCACACACACACACGCTCGCAAGCAAACACACACACACACGCTCGCAAGCACACACACACACACACACACACACACACTCGCAAGCACACACACACACACACACACACACACACACACTCACACACACTCGCAAGCACACACACACACACACACACTCGCAAGCACACACATGCTCGCAAGCACACACACACACACACACACACGCTCGCAAGCACACACACACACGCTCGCAAGCACACACACACAAACACACACACACACACTCGCAAGCACACACACAAGCACACACACACAAACACACACACACACACACTCGCAAGCACACACACACACACACACACACACACACACAAGCACACACACACAAACACACACACACACACTCGCAAGCACACACACACACACACACACACACACACACACACACACACACTTGCAAGCACACACACACACACACACACACACTTGCAAGCACACACACACACTTGCAAGCACACACACACTCGCAAGCACACCCACACACACACACACGCTCGCAAGCACACACACACACACGCTCGCAAGCACACACACACACACACACACACACACACACACACACACACACACAAGCACACACACACAAACACACACACACACACTCGCAAGCACACACACACACACACACACACACACTTGCAAGCACACACACACACACACACACACACTTGCAAGCACACACACACACACTTGCAAGCACACACACACTCGCAAGCACACCCACACACACACACACACACACACACACACTCGCAAGCACACACACACACACGCTCGCAAGCACACACACACACACTCGCAAGCACACACACTCACACTAAAAATGTGGGTTTTGTTCCCCAAAGCCCAAACCTGGAGTCGGGATGGCCACAGACACAACGTGGTGTGTGAACCGTGGCCCTTCCTTTGTTTTCGTTCACACTCAGCCAGTATTTACACAAGAGCACAACCTGCCCCGGTGGGATGCTGCACTCACTCCCAAATACAGTAGTGTGTCGCGAGGGAGAGCCAGTTTCACGTGCAGCTGCAGACAGCAGTCTATCTTAAGGGCTGTGTGGAAAACGCTGACCCCGGAGCTTAGTTCAGTTTCATTCATGGCAGATACAACTGACTTCCACACAAGGTGTGTAGTGCTGCTGCACCACAGGTACACGGCCATCAGATGCACCGCTGTAAGCCCAGACTAAGCAGTGATTTATGTTTGTTTATCCTTTTGTAAAAATGGAGAAAGGTTACAAATTCATCTAAAACATCTGGTGTAAAGCATGCTGAAAGAGACCAGCCGCTTTACTTTAAATTACTGTCATGACTCAAGAGCAGTGATTACCCAGAGGGGGGGCCAGATAAGAAAGTTTCTAAGTCTAGAAAACTCCATTTTTATGCAAAACCACAGGGTTCATGTCCTGTGTGCATTTGTTTCTGCAGGTAGTTTAGAGTCAAAGCTGCTAGTTTACAGTCTAAGCTGCTAGTTTAGAGTCTAAGCTGCAGCTGTTACACACCTGCTTAGACTCTATCAAAACCTGGATGGTGGGAGCTTTCTTCAGCTGAATGAAGATAAGACTGAGATCCTCATCTGTGCTCCAGACAAGCTGGTTCCCAAAGTCAGAGCCTCTCTTGGTCAGCTTGCTTCCCACACCAAACCTTCTGTCTGGAATCTTGGCGTGACCTTTGACCCAGCTCTCTCCCTGGATTCTCATGTCAGTTCTCTTGTTGGCTCTTCCTTCTTCCATCTCAGGAACGTTGCTAAGCTGAGTCCCATTCTGTCCCGCTCTGAACTTGAGACAGTTCTCCACACCTTCATCTCCTCACGCTTAGACTACTGTAACTCTCTTTTCACGTGTCTGAGCAGAACCTCCCTGAACCGTCTACAGGTGGTTCAGAACGCCTGTGCTCGGCTTCTGACCAAGTCCTCCAAACACACCCACATCACCCCGCTTCTCCTCCAGCTTCACTGGCTGCCAGTCAACTTCAGGGTTCATTTCAAGATCCTGGTTCTGGTCTATAGGGCCTTACATGGACAAGCACCATCTTACATTGGTGATCTTCTCAGTCCCTACACCCCCAGCAGGTCCCTGAGGTCCAGTGATCAAAGCCTACTGGTTGTGCAGCACCAGGCTAAAGGTCAAAGGTGACAGATCATTTGCTGCTGTGGCCCCCAGACTCTGGAACTCTCTCCCCCTGAGCCTGAGATCAGTGGACTCAGTGGTCTCCTTTAAAAAGCAGCTGAAGACTCACTTGTTCAAGCTGGCTTTTGTATGACCTTCTTCACCTCGCTCTCTTTATTCTGCCCTCCCCACCTATTCCACCTTCCTCTTTGGTTTTTGTGAAGCGCCTCGTGATTTTTATCTTGAGAGGCGCTATAGAAATGATATTTTCTTCTTCTTCTTCAATGAAACGTTCTGCTGGAACAGACCAAAGAATGGATCCTGTCAGAAACAGGAGGCGGGCTCAAGGACACCAACAACCAATGAGCACCGTGTTTAAAATTTTAGTTACACTTTTACTCTGATTAGTTCAAGATGAAACACTCATTCTCTAATGCCAGTTTACTCAAGTTCTGACTGAAACAACGTTCTAGCTCTCTTTCAGAATAAAATCAGAAATATCAGGGCTAGTTTTTCACTCCCATCCACTTCCTGCCCTCCAATCCAACCACCTTCCTCCCAGTCATGGTCTCTTTACTCCTGTAGACATGTAGGACATTTGCCTCCTTCAGAAACACATGAAGCCAACCCACTGCCCTACTGATTTCATTCCTACTACCTTGTTAATCAGGATGCTTGACCAAATTTGCCCATGCATTGTAGACTTGGTTAATTTATCCCTACAATCTGGCTCTCCATCATCTGTTTTCCTTCTGTTTCCTTAACACTAGAACTCCCACGGCAGTCATTTTGACTGTTTTCATATTTCGATATGCAATAACTTTGGATAGATGAATCTCATGTTGTCCTGGCTTCCTGTCATGGTCTGTGCTGAGCTAACACCTGTTTTGTGTTGTTTCTCTGTGTGCAGGTGCAGTAAGTAAGTAAGTTAAGTAAGTAAGTTAAGTAAGTAAGTTAAGTAAGTAAGTAAGTTAAGTAAGTAAGTAAGTAAGTAAGTTAAGTAAGTAAGTAAGTTAAGTAAGTAAGTAAGTAAGTAAGTAAGTTGAGTAAGTAAGTAAGTAAGTAAGTAAGTAAGTAAGTAAGTTAAGTAAGTTGAGTAAGTAAGTAAGTAAGTAAGTTAAGTAAGTAAGTAAGTAAGTAAGTAAGTTGAGTAAGTAAGTAAGTAAGTAAGTAAGTTAAGTAAGTAAGTAAGTAAGTAAGTAAGTAAGTAAGTTGAGTAAGTAAGTAAGTAAGTAAGTTAAGTAAGTAAGTTAAGTAAGTAAGTAAGTAAGTAAGTAAGTAAGTAAGTAAGTAAGTAAGTAAGTAAGTTGAGTAAGTATGTAAGTAAGTAAGTAAGTTAAGTAAGTAAGTTAAGTAAGTTAAGTAAGTAAGTAAGTAAGTAAGTTAAGTAAGTAAGTAAGTAAGTAAGTAAGTAAGTAAGTAAGTTAAGTAAGTAAATAAGTAAGTTAAGTAAGTAAGTAAGTAAGTAAGTTAAGTAAGTAATTAAGTAATTTAAGTAAGTAAGTAAGTTAAGTACGTAATTAAGTAATTTAAGTAAGTAAGTAAGTAAGTAAGTAAGTAAGTTAAGTAAGTAAGTAAGTAAGTAAGTAAGTAAGTAAGTTGAGTAAGTAAGTAAGTAAGTAAGTTAAGTAAGTAAGTAAGTAAGTAAGTAAGTACGTAAGTAAGTAAGTAAGTTAAGTAAGTAAGTAAGTAAGTAAGTTGAGTAAGTAAGTAAGTAAGTAAGTTAAGTAAGTAAGTAAGTTAAGTAAGTAAGTAAGTAAGTAAGTAAGTTGAGTAAGTAAGTAAATAAGTAAGTTAAGTAAGTAAGTAAGTAAGTAAGTAAGTTAAGTAAGTAATTAAGTAATTTAAGTAAGTAAGTAGGTAAGTAAGTAAGTAAGTTACGGTAAGTAAGTACGTAAGTTAAGTAAGTAAGTAAGTAAGTAAGTAAGTAAGTAAGTAAGTTGAGTAAGTAAGTAAGTAAGTAAAGTAAGTAAGTAAGTAAGTAAGTAAGTAAGTAAGTAAGTAAGTAAGTAAGTAAGTAAGTAAGTAAGTAAGTTAAGTAAGTAAGTAAGTAAGTAAGTTAAGTAAGTAAGTTGAGTAAGTAAGTAAGTTAAGTAAGTAAGTAAGTTAAGTAAGTAAGTAAGTAAGTAAGTAAGTTAAGTAAGTAAGTTAAGTAAGTAAGTTAAGTAAGTTAAGTAAGTAAGTAAGTAAGTAAGTTAAGTAAGTAAGTAAGTAAGTAAGTAAGTAAGTAAGTTAAGTAAGTAAATAAGTAAGTTAAGTAAGTAAGTAAGTAAGTAAGTTAAGTAAGTAATTAAGTAATTTAAGTAAGTAAGTAAGTTAAGTACGTAAGTAAGTTAAGTAAGTTAAGTAAGTATGTTAAGTAAGTTAAGTAAGTTAAATAAGTAAGTAAGTTAAGTAAGTAAGTGAGTACGTAAGTAAAAGTTTAGTTATAAAGCGCCTTTCGCAGATATGAATCACAAAGCGCTGTACAACATGAGTAAAATCAGGGCAAATACCTCAAATCGATTAAAACAGATCATAAAAACAATAGCAGTGACAAAATAGTAAACAAAATCAGGTGTAAAAACAAAGTCAAGGTAAGAACAAAGACAAAACCATCTTTCAGAATATTTAGAGGGGAACGCCTGGATGAAAAGGTGAGTTTTTAAATGTTTTTTGAA